GCAGTAGTCTTCAGCGCTGGGCGCCCATAGCTGTAGGTGTAGTCTTCAGCGCTGGGCGCTAGTAGGTGGTAGTAGTAGCATTGGAGGGAGATGGCTGGCRGAGGCCAGYRGTACTTACCTGTGGCGCCATAGCTCCAGCTCCATCTTCGAGGTACCTGCATCAAGGCGCCAACTTCACAGGTTAGTACTGGACACAGAGAGAGAGAGAGTTCTTCTTCTTCCTCTTCTAAGTCCACCATCTCTTCTCACCCTCTCACCACCTGACTTCTCAGACTACGACAAAGAGAGAGAGAGTTGTGACTTGGGACTTGACGACATTGGATCCAGACTCGACATATGGGGACTCAGACATTTTGCCGAGGGACTATTTGGGCCTGTGCCGAAGACTTGGTGTTGACGACATTCCCATCTTCCCCTCCTCTTCGTCTAACCCCCTTCTTCTTTGTTTGTGTATGGTTGGGGCTGGCGCAGTCTTCCTGTGTGAAGCGCCAGACCCCTTTGACACCATGGAATGATGATGATGATGTGTGTTCAGGGCTGCATTGCAATATTGATTGTTCGGATCATTGGTATCTAAGTCTTCCGCTACGCTATCTTGTACTTTGTATTGAGAGGTCGGTTCTTGTTCTGGTCTGCACCGTTACAGTATGCAACAGTTTGGTATCGGAGCGGACCTCTCATTCTGAGGACCCGCTCAATCAAGTAGCCAGCTTGCTTGATCTATTGATTACTCATCGGTAAATCAAGAAGGACTTCGTCAAATCTCTGAAAAAAAAATAACTATCGCAACAACTATCTGAAATTTCTGATATTCGAATTTCGTTTTACCTGAAAATTTCTGATATTGGTATTTCGTTTTCACGTAGCAAATATCTGAAAATTTCTGATAAATCGCATTTCGTTTTGTCTGAAAATTCCTGATAGTAGCATTTCGTTTCTCTGATATTTCACATACATAGCTGAAATTTTCTGATGTTAGTATTTCGTTTTCTAGGCATATTGGGATAACGATAGAAGTGGTCATATTCTCGGAAACCAGAATTATTCTTTTCTGAAAATCGAATTTCCATTCTATCTCGCAATTTTTTTTTGAAAACCGAAATCTTGCAAAGCCTACCAACATTTTGTTAGGCATATTTGGAGGTTGCCATATTCTCAGAAACGGGATTTCATTCTTTTCTGAAAATCGCATCTTTACTCCATTTCGCAAATTTTTTTTTCAAGATCGCATTTGGTAAAAACCGAAACTTTGCGGAAACCAGCCTAGATCTCGTCATAGTACTCTTCTGACATGTCTCACTCATAACAGATCGACAGATATACAAAAAAAAAAAAGAAAAAAAAAAGGAAGTAGTCCTCTTTTATTTTTTTTTATTTTTTTTTATCTGTTGATTAGAGCCGGAGGAAAGTATTGTTGGGTTGGTTGCCTACCTACGTTTTCCCTCCCACCCACCCCTTTGCATGCATTTCCGGGTTGGCACAGTGCCATGTGAGCAACAGTGCCACGTCAGCATTGCCAAGCAGTGCCACGTCAGCAACAGTGCCACGTCAGCAGTGCCACGTCAGCAACAGTGCCACGTAAGCAGTGCCACGTCAGCAGTACCACGTCAGCAGTAACAGTGCCACATCAGCAGTGCCCCGTCAGCAGTGCCCCGCCATCATGACGGGCGCAGCTCTGGGCATGCCAGGCCACAGTGCCATGTCAGCAGTGCCCCGTTAGCAGTGCCCCGCCACCATGACTGGCGCAGTCTCTTGCCGACTACAAACAACGGTTCCAGGCTCAGCTCGCACTAATTGAGGATGAGGAACAGCGCCAGCTGGCAGCCGAGGCTGCCCGCCTACAAGCTGAAGCAGCGGCAACAGCTGAGAAGCAGCGGCTACAGGCCGAAGCAGATGCAGATGCCCAAGCACGCCGCAAGGAAGCCCAGGATCTGCTGCGGTGGCATGAAGCTGCCAGCATCGAAAGACTCAAGTTCTGGCAGTTTCAACCGTCCAATGCGGACGACGCGACACCGGAAGAGCAGCATAAGGAGTTCCTCTCCAAACTCGTGACACGGTTGTTGTACGCTTGCAACTACCAACAATCTGAGTTAGAGAGTCAGAACCAGGAACTGCAGCAACAGTACCAGGATCAGAAGACACAGCACCAGGAGTTGGCGAACCTTCGCCGGATAGTGCAGAGCTACGAGGATGCTACACGGGCACTCAATTCCCGTGTACTGGTCCTGGAGCAAGCCGTACCAGGACCAGATGCTGGTGAGGCCAGCAATGCACCCTCTAACCACCAACTGGAGCAACGCGTCGACCACGTCGTCCCAATGCTCGGCGACATTAGCACCTTCGCTGCGCCGACCACCATCAGCAATCAGCTGGATACTTTGAAGACCGAGGTCCAGCAACTGCAGTTGACGAACACGGATGGCAACAATCCAAAGCAATACAAGATGCCAACTTTTCAAATTGAGAAGTTTGACAACTACACGCATCAGGACCCGGTGCTCTGGTGGGAGGCTTTCACGACGCAACTTCGGATTCTGCCTGTCGCCAAGCACGGGTACATCGACGCCCTGTTCATGAACTCAAAGGGCGGATGCCAGATCTGGTTAACCCACCTGGCAGCCACCCACGGCGTCGACGTCGCAGATATGAGAGACAATATCACATGGGAAGAGTTAACACGGCTGTGGAAGAAGCGGTTCATCGTCGACGATGCACCAGCACTCGCCATCAACCGTCTCTTCACCATGACTCAAGGCAACACAGCAACACGTGACTGGCTCACGGAATGGCAGAAGATCGCGGCAACGCCCGATCTTGACTTACCATTTCCGCATCTGCGCCGTGAGTTCTACAACAGGTCATGCGTTGCATTGAGCCAGGCACTTCGTGATTGCGAGCAATATGCAACTTTCGCCGAGATTATTGACAAGGCGAGAGAGATCATCAAGACCAATAGGGCGGCTGCACACGAGAGGTCAACATGGCAGCCGACCTATGTGGAGAAGGTAAAGACTGGTCCACAGCCGCAGCATTTCGCTGCAGTCCAATCGGACAGTAGAGAAGACCCGGCAGCCACCCAAGCGTCACGTGAGGGAGATCAGGTGGCTGCTGTCCAGCCGCGAAGCAACAACAAGTCTCGAGGTAACGGGAAGGCGAAATCAGCATCGCCGGCCGGAAATGGACAACCTGCACCACCATGGGTCAAGTTCGGCTTGACCGAGGCCGAGTACAAGTACCACGGCCGTTACGGCTGCTGTTACTGGTGCAACAACACCAAGCACAAGACCTCCCTTTGCCAGGATCAGGCCAAGGAGGATGTGCGGCCTCGTCTCAACTCGGGAAACTGAGTTTCGCGGGAGGTGAGGCAATTCCACCTCCCACTCCGCCAGATTCGGTCGCCTTGCTAGCGGCCTCCTACACATCTGGGGAGGATGCGAATGTCGTAAGTTCTCGGTACACTTACGAGGACTATGCTGTCCACTTAGTCCCACCGTTGGACCAACCGCTCCACGTGCAACAATCTACCGCATGCACGGTTTCATCACCATCGACAACCGATTCGGCATCTTTGCCGCAATCTATCGCCAGGGATTCGACGTCATGGTCAAGACTTGAAGAGCTCGACCCGTTGACGTTCACTGACTTCCAGTGGATGCCCGTTCCCCCGACCGGTCGATTGTCGAAACCGCATTGCAACGTGCTCATGGCACAATTGCGGGATTACTTGCACACTGCAGTACCGACTCAGTTGATGGACGCCGCAGTAGAGGTTGTCGACCTTCACGCCTACATTGCGAAGATTGACCGCGAGTTCAAGACGCAACGGTACAACGACATCGACGCACCATTGCTATACGTACGCATTCAGATCGGAGAAGCGACCTGCGGCGCTTTGATCGATTGCGGAGCATCTCGCAACTACATCAGCCAGGACTTCATGGTGCGCGCCGGCTTTGGCTCACGCATCCGAAGGAAGCCCCAACCTACACAAGTCACATTGGCGGACGGTCAAACGCACAAGTCAATCGACCGGTGCATTGATGACGTCCCAGTGTACTTTGCCCCTCACGCAAGTGAGGCGGTGTCCTTTGACATTCTGGACACCAAATTCGACATGATGTTGGGCATGTCATAGTTGCGAAGCAAGGATCACCCGGTGAACTTCTACCATCGCACCGTTCACATTCGTGATCGGAACGGAGTACTAGTCCCCTGCACGGTGCCCCTTCCTCATCCTTCGATCAGTTGCCACGTGGTATCCGCCGCAAGCATGCGAGCTTCCATCATCAGAGACGACATCGAGGAGATGGGGGTGTGTTTTCTCCACGCCCTCCCGCCCCATGACGCTTCATCGACGGACTCTTCTTCGGATCCACGCATCACCGAGCTTCTCGACGCCTATAGCGACGTGTTCGAAGGCCCGCACGGAGTAGTACCGGATCGACCCATCCGCCACGAGATCATCCTCGAGGACGGGGCCGTACCTCCGCACGGTTGCATCTATCGAATGAGCGAGGAAGAGTTAAGTGTGCTTCGGGCACAACTCAACGACCTTCTGGAGAAAGGTTGGATTCGGCCTAGCTCATCGCCATACGGTACTCCTGTTCTCTTCGTCCGGAAGAAGAACAAGGATTTGCGGTTGTGCATCGATTATCGCAAGCTCAACGCGCAGACGATCAGAAACGCCGGCCCTCTCCCACGCATCAACGATCTTCTCGAGCGACTGGGCGGCGCCAAGTTCTTCTCCAAGCTGGATCTCAAGTCAAGATATCACCAACTCGAGATTCGGCAGGAGGATCGCTACAAGACCGCGTTTAAGACGCGATATGGGCATTCCGAATGGCTGGTTATGCGATTTGGCCTTACGAATGCCCCGGCCACTTTCCAAGCGGCTATGACAACGGAGTTCCGACACATGCTGGATCGATACGTACTTATCTACCTCGACGACATCCTGGTGTACAGCCGGAGTTTGGACGAGCATGTGGAACACCTGCGCACCGTTTTGGATCGGCTACGACAGGCCAAGTACAAAGCCAACCGCGACAAGTGCGAATTCGCGCGGCAGGAGCTGGAGTACTTGGGACATTATGTGACGCCGCAAGGCATCCATCCGGTTGCGGACAAGATCGAGGCCCTACGAGTATGGCCCGAGCCCACCAACACCACGAACGTTCGTTCATTCATGGGGTTGGTGGGCTACTATCAGCGATTCATCACCGGATACTCGAGGATTGTTGCACCTATKACGAGATTACAATCGCCAAAGGTGCCATTAACATTCGATGACGATGCACGCCGGTCATTCCAAGCACTCAAGACGGCCATGCTCATGGCACCCGTCCTTAGCATCTATGTCCCCACCGTTTCGATGAGAGTGACTACAGACGCTTCCGGCTATGGCATTGGGGCAGTCTTGGAACAGCACGATGGCGACGACTGACACCCTGTGGAGTATTTCAGCCACAAAGTGCCTCCCATCAACTCGCTTGATGATGCAAGGAAGAAGGAGCTGCTCGCATTCGTCATGGCTCTAAAGCGATGGCAACACTTCCTCCTTGGGCGTCGTAGGTTCACATGGGTCACAGACAACAATCCATTGACCTACTACAAGACGCAGGATACGGTGAGCAGCACAATCGGGCGATGGATGTACTTCATCGACCAATTTGACTTCACACCGAAACATCTTCCCGGCCTCTTCAATCGAGTAGCAGATGCACTCTTGCGAAGACCTGATCTTTGCGCTATGACACATCATACCTTCACATTCGATGAGGAGCTCCAGCGACACTTCATCAGGGGCTATGAGTCCGATCCAGACTTCGCCACGCTATATGCGCAGCTATCTTCGGATCACCCGCCGGCCAGCCACTATCGCATCGCCGATGGGTACTTGCTCCTGCACTCGCGGGGCAAGGACTTACTATGTGTCCCACACGACCGTTGTCTTCGGACTCGCCTCCTCGGCGAGTATCATGATTCACGACTCGCCGGCCATTTCGGAGTCAACCACACTATTGCACGGCTTCGACAGCGATTCCGATGGCCCGACCTCAT